TTAATATCGACCACCTTGACCCTAATTATGACAAATGATGTGCTTAACATTTCAGCACACTCCAGGATCTCGTAAAGAATATAAACATCTAAACCAGTTACACTTTGATCAAATAGTTACCGTGGTCTGCACTGCAGTACTGCAATGTATAGTCATCACTTTAGTATAATTTGTATATAAATGTGCTCTTCATTAATACATTGTCAGTCATCCCATCGTGGAAGAATTCTGGAACATCTCTCTGTGCACTTACTTAAGATGCAGATTAAATAAAGACCTTTTTTACTTTATAGTTCAAACAACATTAAAAGGTTTTTTCTTAAATGTCACTTATCAATTTTTATCTAAGTTTTATCTATTAGGTATGTTAACTGCAAATGTGATGGTCTTTTATACTAATTGTACTGCACTGACCATATTCCACCTATCATTAAGAAGAACACACTCCCCTAAACCTCACCCTATTGAAGACCTAGCCCAATAAGTGCTCCATAACTTCTTTTTAAAAATGGTCTCAGATGGCTTTACATGACCACATCTAATGTTCTAATTGTCATAAGGTCAAGCAAGGACACTTGTTTTCATTTATTAATATCCTTTCAAAAGCAACATCAAAGGCTGGTCAGTTCAGAAAGGATTAAATATGCTGGTTTATGATATGTCTTCCATTATAGGGCTGAGACATAGCATATTTGTTAGAATAAACGTGAAAGAATCTTTCAATTTGGTAATTTTCATGACAATCAGTTGCCTGCTAGAGCTTCTTATGTAATGATGTTATTCCTGTGAGTCTAACAGTTTAATTGTATTTGATAATTGAATTTACTTCAAATAGATTTTTTACATTTATTTTTGTGATTCCAGTGTATTTCAGTCATGGCAGCATGTCTGAATGTTATTTTTCTGGAATTTTTGTACCATTATCAAATTGCTGGTGGTCTGTCTGTTCTAAGTAAATGTTTATAAAGAGATCACATTATTCTATATTTAATCCTCTTACTGAAACATTACCACACAAAATATCAAGTAACTGAATTAAAGAAATTTTGAATAATTATTGAACATGCAAGTTTTGAATATATGACCATAAGAGAATAAATCTAACCGTCTTATTTGTGATAGGTTATTTTTATAAAATTAACAGATATATGCATTAAGGAAATCGACAACTACATCTGATGTGTTCTTGGGGTGCTGTTTCCATTACATTAATATAATGTTTAAAAGCGCAAGTGGCTTAGAGTTAAGATGAAGTTTCAGGAGCATAAAGATAATCCAAACACAAGCACTTTTTCATATGACAGTAATAAGATATATGAATTAAATCTTGAAGACATTTTTCAAACAATCCACAAAGAATCAAGAACACCTCTAACAGGTTCCAGCCTGTATAATTAAACAGTTTTTAATAAAAAAAATTAACATGAAAATATATCAGAAAATGAATATTTCCTAACTAAAAAGTCCTCTCATTACCAATCTTTCTCTGATGTCTTTAATGTTCAGTTTTATCTATGTTTTCTTTCATGAACATTTTAGATGTTTGCATTGCTATAGTCTGCTCTCTTATTCAATATTTCTGGTAAAACTGTTATGTTCTTAATGCATTATTGGAATCTATATACTAATGTATTATGGAATATTGAAATGATATGGGGTGAGAGTTCAAGGCCAGTGACCTATATTTGCTAACCTCCCTGTAATTTGGTCTCTGGTGGATAGTTCTCTCATCAGCTATCATATCACATCTCCTTACTTTATATGAAATATTATTCTAAATTAAATATATAGTGTGAAAACTAACAAAGAAGCTCATTCTATTGGTCTTCAACAATAAAATGAATTCACATGAGGACAGAGCTAATACACCTTCACTTCTATGTGAAAGACAGTAAGATGAATAGAAAACTTGATAGTTCTGCAAATCAATTATTTCTTACTTTATTGTGTGAAATATAAGGAACTAATTAAGGGTACAGAATTTTTTTCATAGGTGTAGTTTTCATTTTAGTCAGCAATAAATAGTTTACCCAGATAAGTTTGACATAAAAAAAAAATCAAATTTTTCTGGAAAATAAGTATAATGAACTATTCATACTAAATCAAACTTTTAAAGCCTATATATTTAATTGTCTTTAAGGAAACTTGAAAACAAATCTATCATATCAAGTACGTTCGGTTTGAAATGCTAGTGTCTATTTGTTTTCTACTTGGACTTAAATATAACTATTGATGGAGCTAATTATTTGATTTCACAATAATTATTTCTAACACAGAACTGTCATTAAGATATGGTTCAGACATTAGACTGGAAACTTGCACATCAATCAGACTAAATATTATTTCATAATGGATTAGAAAATTACCACCTTCTTCAAGTGTATAATGTATTTTTACTGCTTTTTCAATTCCCAAATGTTTAATATAGACTAGAGTCAGTCTGAGCTGTTTGATAAAATTCTTGAAAAACAGGCCTTCATTATATCTTCTAAACTAAACAGTCCTGACGCAATGTAAATAACAGCATCTGTCTGTAAGTTCTAAAGATTCTGTGTAAATATCATCTACGATTTAATATTAATATGATTACCCTGTCAAACCTTAAACTGTGATTTACACGATTTACACGATTACATTTCATTAAATCCATCACCTGTTCTTGTTCAAAACCTTGAAAAGTGTAAAAATGTCTGTCTTATCTTTCAAGAAAAAATTTACTCAATAAACTGTACTACAAAAATTCATGTTGAAATAACAGTATTGATAATAATTACAAGTTATTTGCATTAAACCTACAAGTAAGCCTAACAAACAATTTAGCCATTGTCCAAAAAAACTCCTTTTTGAACATTTGCAACAGTTATGAAAATCAATCAATCTGAAAGTGGTCCACTTGGGAGTTTAAAATGTTTTTTTAAAGTGATAAAACCTATATTTTTTGTTAAAAAAATTAATAAATTTTGAACATGAAGCTCTGTTCTTTTATTTGCTTCTGAAACTTTCTTACTTTCAAATGAAAAAAAATCACAGATTGCAGCAACAACAACAGAAAAAGTTAAGTGGCTCAACTTGCATTTTTGCATAAAATTGATACAGATGCAACAAGAATTCTGTTTACAGTTTCTCTCTTTCTACTATCGTTTTCACCAAAGAGGAAAAATGGATGAAAATCTTCATTAAAGGGCAATAAGTCTTATAAGGAGTTGACTTATGATTCTGGTCATGTTGCTTTTTTTTGCAGATTTTGTCTTGCTGATCATTTGTGATTGTTTTTTTTTTTTCAGTTCGAAGACTCATAAGATATGCACAAAGCATAAAAAACAACTAATGAAAGGCTAAAAGCACAAAATACTTTTTCAAGAGTACTGGCAGTAACTGAAAAAATGAGGAGATGTGGTATGATTGACAATGAAAAACCTTTTCACCAGAGTCCAAATGACATGCATATTAGCATTAATAGGTCACCATAAAGCCTCCAACAATGAGCAAAACCCAAACTTCTTTTTAAACAGTAAACTACTCTTTTCTAATTCCATCAAGACTGATGCATTAACCTTATCAATATAGATTTCTATAATGGAACATGAAAAAAAAAAATTCCTTCACCCATCAAATAATAGGTACATTTTTTTTTAACTTTCAACTGCATTAATCTCTTATTCCCTGCTAAAGGTCTATCATTCTGCAATATGAAGCAATACAGACTTAGGACAATATCTCAAAGACTCAACCTTGTAGAATAAAATAAATTACACATGACAAGAAATAATTTTAAATAAGAACAAATATACACTGTTATTTTTGTTCATTGACATTGATTTCTATTTTAAGAATTTAATTTAAGCGTAACTTTAAATATCGTACCATGACTTTAATGAAGTAAACATAAAAAGAAGATGTTTATACGTGACTGCACAAAACACTTACGCAGGAAATCAAAAGTGCATAATAATATACTTAATGTCTGTCTCATTGTATCAAGTTGGCTATATTTGTTCATTTATTCAGCAATTTTTTTCTGTCAATATGATAAATAATGTTATATTTGATTTTCTATTTTGGTATGCAGTCAAGCCTAAATTATTACATCATAGATTTATGCAGACATTATGGAGAAGTGAATCGCCAGTTTCCTTTTTGTAAGAAGTAATGTTTTATACATACTTTGTTTTCAGAGATTTTGAAATGAATAGAAAAACAAATGAAATACATATGTATCAAATATGCATAACTGACAAAAATCAATGTCAATTGGCAACTTTGTCGAAAATCCCAATAGGATTACCGCAAGACTAAACTAATTTACTAAAACAAAATGTCAGATAGCTTGGGCATTCTATATTGTGTCAACAATATAAAAATAACATGTGGTAGATTGCTAATGAGACAACTATCTTGACCACAGACCATAGAATTAGAATGTAAACAACTTAAGACAGACTTATTTTACAGTATTAACCACTGCTTATATCAACCCAATCACTTTCATTTGCAAAGTGCCTGTACAAAGTCGGAACCACGACAATCCATCACTAGTGCTGTTCCATTGATGATAATTTGATAAGATTTATCCTGAAATTAGCAGCTTTATATGGACATTGATTTTTTTAACACACATTGTAGTTACATTTATTATTCCATATGTTTACAATAAAATAATGGAGTAAATAACAGTGACACTATATATTCGTCATTTGAACTCTGGTGGACAGTTGTCTCATTGGCAATCATACCACATCTTATTTTTAAATAAATTAGATTCCATCCAAGTGTGAGATTTCACCACCCTGTCCCAGGGTTTTGGTCTTCTGAGGGAGATTTCTAAATCGTTTAAAAAAAAACAGATCCAACAAGAATCTGGCTAAATAATGACTCAAGACAATTGGTCTGTTGGGCATATTTACTTTTCAAACTGATTTACATGTGCTAAATTTAGCTTTGCAAGGGAAAAAGAGTGGTGCAATATCCAACATTCACTCAAAATTAAAAGTTTTTGTTACCTTCAATTTTAACTTCCTGTCTGGTTTTGCCCACCACATTTTTTGCTTCACACACATAGGTTCCACTGTCTGCAAGTGTGGCTTTCCTCTTCCGAAGCACAATACCACGTCTTTGAATAAAAAATATATATACATTTTTGTATTGTACATTTTTAGCTAATAAATATACAACAGAAGACATGACATATTTGACAAGAATTTTCAAAGAAATGCAATTTCCTTTAATGTATTAGGGGTTTTTTCCCCAAAAGAATTTCATTAGACTGTTCACAGTCCCGTTTATCTGTATACCCTCAAAACCTTTCTTTCTCAATTATTTCAGTAAAATTGCCTCATCAATTGTTTTCTTACTGCTAGAAAAATATCACTTTTCATTGACAGTAAATATGCAATAATATAGGGTTATGGCATGAATATAGGTGAATATTGTTCCGAGTAGATTTTTAAATTGCACAATCTTGTTGTTGCAATATATACTCTATGAGGGGTTAATTTGCCAATATTCATTTAATAAACCTTTAAGGTGGTACCCAACACTACAGGGAGAAAACTCTGTATAATCAGATAAACGTTTTAATTACATTGTATTGTTAAGGAAATATTAAGCTTCTCAATGATTAAAATTAGTGTTTGTCAAACTATATATCCAATGAAATTTTTCCGAGAAAGTGATTGGCTTCAAGTTTTTTGAAATTTTTATATTTTTTTCAAAGGGTCAAAGTAAATATTTTGTCAAAATTTTATGAAAATTAAATGAGCCAAATTAATTTTAGTCAAGGTGTTGGGTACCACCTTAATTGTATAGCAAAGTTTGAAAAATTGGTTAAAACATATTTTGTCACTGATAATATTGATAATTTGAAAATATCTTTGCAGTAGTGCAATATGACAATATTGCCCTCTTATTTTTCATTATACATTCTGTATGAAATATTATGTTCATTGGCCTATGAAAAACAGATTTAAAAAATTCTCAAGAAACTCATAAAATATTGAATTACTGAAATGTGAAAAAATAATGATTTAAGTATATTATACTTACTTTGATTTTCTAATAGTAAAGCCTTTTTTACTAGGTTTTAAAACTTGGCCATTTTTCTCCCACAACATTTCTGGTGGGGGACGTGCTGATCGTATCCGACATGATAATTGGAATTTTCTTCCTTCAACAAACCTTTTCTTTTGAACTTTTATTGTTTTTAATGAAGGAGCTTTATCTGAAAGTAGAAAAAAACTATTAATTACAAATTGAACAAAAATATAACTATGGCTCTGGTGCAAAGGTTAAAAAATGTGTAAATTCTAATGATGTGTGTATGGACTTTTCATGATTTTACATTTAAAGTTTGATGACAACTTTCAAATTGTTCAATAAGTATTGAATATTACTGTATAAAAATACATAAAAACAATTCTACAAACCTTTTATCAAGGATTTGTATATTTACTATATAGAGAGCATATTAGAGAGTATTCTATATAGCAGTAACCAGTATTCTATATAGCAGTAACCAGTATTCTATATAGCAGTAACCAGTATTCTAGTAAGGAAAACAATCAAATTCTGTAATTATTTTTCTAAATTTTCTAACCTAATGGTAAATTTTCCCTTATGAATTACAAATGTGTTGATTTGTCATTTTTTTTTTTATATTGCTTTTTAATAGAGATATCAAACACTGTCTCTTTCAATTCTTCAGTTAACATGTAAGACTACTTAGAAATTAACTATTTTTACCACATTGTTCGCCAACACATCCTTGAAATCAAGTCCATACCAATATGAACTCATTCTAAGAAAACATTTTTCTCCTTTGTAAAGAACATGTTGATAAATGGTATATTTTGTTACTGTGATAAAGTATTGTACAAATCAAGCTTGTTGAAATTGATAATGGATCAACCATTTTACTTCAAAGGTCAGATACCATCGATGTTCTTCTCTGTGACAGATAAAAAAATTCAAAACAGAATTTCTTTTTTTTCTTTTTTGAACATGACAAGCCAGATATTTTTCCATGAATGATACTAAATATCAGACCAAGTCACAGAGCCAAACTATCTATATTTCTGTACCTTTTAAACTATTTGATTCTTTTCTTTTAAAGACTGGCAAGAGGACTTTTGAAAAAAAAACCTTGAATTCCTTGCAATCCCTTCATTAAGGAAAACTGTTTTTATTTATATACTACACTTAATGAATGAATATTACAAATATCTATTAAAGATCTCCCACGATTCATTGATAAGAAACAATGATTATGATGACAACTTACACAAGAGCTGGCAATAAAACATGTCCAGATTTATGTTACTCTATATATCATAGTATTAATTATCTTGTTAACATATCAACTTAAACAGTAGCTGTGATAAAAAACAAAATCATTTGTCATTGCTACTAATGACCTAAAATACAGAAAAATTCATTTCACAAAGATAAAATGAGTCTAATAATGACAGAAATAGCTGAAAAATTTATTTCACTTAGATTATGTAACAATGAGTCTATCATTATATAATATATTTCATTATGCAGCATTATCTTAAATTAAATTAACACTGTCATGAAACAGAAGTTTCTTCACAATATGTTTTAAGTGGAAGAAATATTCCGTAATATTGTTTCCACTGGAACATTATATTACAGTATTTTTTCCTACTGAAATAAAGGATATAGAATATTTGTTCCAACAGGAACAGATATAATGGCTTAAAAAATTTGTTCATAACAAAGTTTCCAGGGGATTAACTTCTGTTAGGTGGAACAATATATGTCGACAACCAAATCATTCAGTCAAGTTATAATTATCTTACAGTTACAGTGCTTATTAATAAAGCTCTGTCCTTTCACTTTGCAATAATTTTATTTGTAGAAATATTATTGAAAAAAAATCAATTACACAGAAAATAAAATGCTTCGCTGAGCGCAGCCTGATACGACCGCAGAGGTCGAACCCTGAACAGTTGGGGCAAATTTGGACACAATATTAAAGCTTGGATTGTGATCAAAATTTTTACATAATAGGTTTCTGACACAAAACAAATGTGGTCAAAGATCTCACAAATATATAGCGCAATCCTGTGCAATTGAAGATTTCTTCTAAAAACTTTTCAAAAATTTGAAATTTGAAATATTTTGAGAAAAAAAATATGAACCCCTTAAAAAAATTGGAAACCCCCCCCCTAGTTTTTTTAATCCCCCCTTGGAGCAATTACCCCCAAACTCAATCCCAGCCTTTCCTTAGTAGTATGGAACCTTGTAGTACAATTTTAGGGAGATCCATACACTTAAACACAAGTTATTGTCTGGAAACTAGAAAAATGTGTGTTTTTGGCCCTTATTTTGCCCCTAATTCCTGCATATTTGGGGCAATTACCCCCAAACTCAATCTCAGCCTTCCCTTTGTGATATGGAACCTTGTGGTACAATGTCAGAGAGATCCATACACTTACACACAATTAAGTTATTGTCCGGAAACTACAAAAATGCTTGTTTTTGGCCCCCTTTTTGGTCCTTAATTCCTAAACTGTTGGCACCATAACCCCCAAAATGAATCCCAACATTCTACTTGTGGTATTAAACATTGTGGTACAATTTCAGAGCAATTGAAATACTTATACACAAGTTATTATCCTGAAACTAGAAAAATGCTTGTTTTGGGCCCCTTTTGGGCCCTCAATTCCAAAACAGTTGGGACCATCATCCCCAATTCCTAAACGATTGGGACCATCATCCCCAAAATCAATCCCAACCTTCCTTTTGTGGTATTGAACCTTCTAAAAAAATTTCATAGAGATCCATTCACTTAAACTAAAGTTATTGTCCGGAAACCAAATGTGTCTTTGGACGACGACGCAGGTGACGACGACATCAGAGCATTATACGAAACCCAAAAAAAATTTTGCGGTCATATAAAAAGGGGGGTTGTGTCAATGTATATTTGTTCCGCCTTACAGAAGTTCCACTGGAAACTTTTGTTATAAACAATGCCATAATATCTGTTCCTGCTTGAATATATATATATTCTTTACCCTTGTAATATTTGTTCCAGGGGAAATAATATTACAGAATATTTCTTTCACTTGGAACTTATATTATGAAGAAACATCTATTTCATGACAGAAGATGCCCCAAAGGTGCTTGTGTTTAGAAATAGAAATAATGCAAAAGTAATGCAAATAAACAAGTAAAACTAGGCAATAAGATACATCTTCAGGTCAATTTAATTTATTATGATGCTTCCTTACATCAATTTCAAATTTTACGTCATAAATATGATTATACAACATGTATTCTTAAAGTGCATCCGTTTCATTATGACATCATGCAGCAACATGTACTTTTCATAATTTGCACTAAAATTAACAAAACAAAACTGTATCTGCAATCAAATTGTTTTTGTTCTTGGAAGATATTAATTTGTACTCTTTAAGTATTCTGAGAAACTCAGTCTTGTTAGACATCAGTACAAGTACTTAGTTGCACTTTGAACCATCATAAATATAAAATAGTTTACTTTATCTGCCTGAGAGGAAAACTAAAATCAAACACAACACCAAATGATCAATCCTTACTTGTAAACAAAACTTTCAAATTAACAATATATTCATGAATTTAGTGCTTTGAGCTAATTTACCGATGAGATGAGTACAAATTATGCAAATAAATTTTTTTTTGTTTTTTTTACACTAGAATTTCATCATTTTGTTCTTCATTTCACCATCCCAGCTTCAGTGACTGATGAACAATTTTTGAAAAATAGAGAAAGTGCCAAAACATTTTTTTATATCAAATTTATATATCTTCCTTAAAAAAAATTGTTTCAAGAAGGAAAAAATATAAACCCACAGAACTTAGAAAATGCAATTGCTGAGACTCTCTGAGCAGCTATAGATCAAATAAAATATTCCAGACTTTAAATTGTAACGGCATTGTATATAATAGACAACAAGTGGGATTGTTTGCTCAATTTTTATGTGTCTTCAATCTTTATTTATAAATATATACTTATTATTCATAATATGCTAATTCCGAAGGAGACAGGAAAATCATTAATCAAATTATTGAATAATGAACAACATTTGTGTTTGACTTTTTACCAGTAATTATATAAAGAGACAACAATATTAACAACTGATCGTAACTTCCATCACTTGTTAAAATAAAACCCCTATTTCTTGATTTTAATAGCCAAATCTACAAACATATATAACAGAGCCACATCTGTTTTAATATTTCATTATAATTTTTTGTATCCTCATTTGCAAATCAAAACCAACGAAGCAGAAACAAACCTGGGTTCTCAGTCAGAAAACAATACTCAGTACTCGGAGTACCAAATTTGTGCTCGAAACACCAAATTCAGTATTTCAATTGGCTGGATTTTGAGTCTGAGTCTGAAAATCATATTTGAAATTCTTATGACTGCAAGGCCTGATACATATTTAAGTGCAAAATTAGGTATTATGATAATAATCTTTACTGTCATAAACAAATTATCTTTATTGTCATATAAACATCTTCCTATATCTATATAATGTACCAATGAATCTTTTCCTGCAGTGTACTTTTTCCTTTTCTATGAAATGCATCTAAGTATACAAATTTCATGACTGATTTTCCCCCAAAGTTTCATTTCCGACGGAAGAAACACCAAAATTTGAAAATTTGATACACATGTGTATTTGTACCAGAAATTCTACATGCCAGAATGAAAATACGCCTACAATAATCCTATCCCTCTCCTGGCAAAAATAACGTCATATGAATTATGATATTACACATGTATATCCAAATTCGTTATTTTTTCATGCAGATATATTCTTATAAGTTATATCATATTTCTATTGTCTTCATTTGCCCTTCAACAAGTTCAAAGTGAACAAAACAGGAAAGAAACCAAATAGTTGTTTAATAATTATGCTTAAACAGTTTAATGTTACAACACACAGGTGTTATAAAATAATTACAGACTGCATAAGGTCAACGACATAAATAGTATGGCCACATGCAAAGTCAGGCAGAGGAAACAAATAAAATAGTTAATCATTGCTGTAATCAATCTACCATTGGAGTTAAATATTGAAGAAACTGATAGATTATTCTTCATCAAGAGATTACATTTAGTGTTATTGACTAATTCTTTTGTTTCCTTAATGATTTTATGGACTTCTGGTGTAGTATAAAATAAAGATTTTCCTATCTAGGGCAAATAGCCTTTTATTTGGATATCATTCATCTAAATTTAGTAAGCTCTTTAATTAAAAATTTTGCTGAGTTCAGTATTTGTTCCTTCATGTGGAGAACCAAAAGTCAACGTACTCAGCGATAATAAAATTACTAACTTTATTACATTAAAATGCTAGTGAAAGTCAATAAATATCCATTTTTATCTATCCATTCTCTTAATTTTACTTAAGTCATAACATATTAGATTTTTATGCTAGCCAGTCTCAATAATTATTGCATACCGTTTTTTTTTTTTTTTTTTTTTAAACACACTTTTTTTTGCATATTAAGAAAAAGATGCTCATTTCATCTTGAAAACGGTTCTTAATTTCTAGACACAAAAAATAAAAAAATAAAAATAGAAATAAATTTGAAAAAGAGTTAGATGAGAATAAAGGCATATCTTTATCAGTATAATATACTGATTTTTTTCTGCTTTAAATAAATGTTACATTCATTTTATTTATGATGATACTTGACTTTTATTGTATCTATGATTTCTGAAAAAAAAAACAAACTTAAAGTGTTGGTACAAATGCCCCCACCTGCAGCCTTATTGATAATTGCAAAACAAAAAATGCAAGACAAGTAAGGAAGTAAACACACCATAAAGAGGACCAAAGGAAACTTGCGTCTAAAAAGGAAAATTTACAATTGGGAATTCTTGATTATTTAAAGAAAAAAATTATTAAGGCAAGTGTTATTGAAGTTATCAATTAAATGGTATTTAGATATTATTTAGTGGTTTTTTTTTTACCAGAAAAAATATATTCAAAATAAAGCATCTTACCTCCTTTCTTTACAAGACCAAAACCAAACATGACGTTTATCCAAAAAAAAAAATTTAGAATGCTTCCTGACACATACAATTTTGTTCTGTGACCATTAGCTACATGATTTGATTTTATATAGGGATATTGAGATTTTCACACAAAGTTGTGAAGTACATGTATCTTGAATTTTGTATCTGTTGTTATACCGATTATTTGTATTAAAAATTGAGGTGTTAACTTTGGCCCATATCCTGTGGTTTTTCTGACTATATTCTCATAATCTATAAAAACAAAATAACAAATATGATTTTAATGTGAAGGTATACTTCATTTAATCCATTATGATATTCCATCATGATTACAATCAAAACCGTGTAAATATTAATGTAAGAAATCACAAAGTAAATGTTGAGGATTAATAAAGTCAACAATAGTCTGAAATATTGGACCAAATATCCTAAATTTCAGGCTAAATTACCTTGTTAAAATAATAAAGTATCATTTAAAAATTGTCATAAATGTAGCTTGTCTTTATTTGTTTAATGTATGTTTTCACAAAATTGTTGAGATTCTCCAATACACTTGTACTATTGCAGTATATAAGTACTAACTATTTAGGTGGAAATAACACTATTTCCCTCTCCTTGGGGAGATATGAAGTTTGTACATTCAGCCAAGAAAATCCATATTTCAAAGAGGGCATTGACTTTTAGAGAGTAATCAGTTGTAGATACAAGAGTGGGATAGTAGGATGAATTAAAAACACAGAGACAGATGGACTCCCCCATCATTATATACAGTACCAATTACTATAGGTTCAGAAGGGAATATAAAGTTTTGTTCAATGTTCAGAGGGATTCTCCATCGATCTACACCAATCAAATATTAATTTAGCTATAAAAATTCAATTAAAGTGAATAATATAATGTATTTCCCATCAGGCTTGAAGATTTAGTTCACTCAAGAAAAATGTAACCTACAGAAAATGCTGTAAAAATAAGAAAAAATCACGTTCATATCCATGAAAGAGTGTAGACTGGATGTGGGGTACTTCATTTCCGTAATCTCTATTCTTTATACGTTTTGCCCATTAATGTCTATTCTTCATCATTTCAAGCACCTCATTATTCTCTATTCTTTAATTTTTTGGCCAATTTTTCTCTATTTTTTATGTTTTTTGTCCATTATTCTCTATTCTGAATACCCCCATCCACACCCTCATGAAAACCCTTCTACTAATCCAGAATCCTTACACTAATCCAGACCTTCACCAAAATTCATTGAATGTCTATTGTTAACTTAAGTGACACAACAGCTCATACATTTTGTACATACTTTTGTAAATTGTTATTGGTTCCTTATTTCTTTTTATTAATCTTCTTAAACTTAATAATCTATATTGTACTATGTTAATACTTCTTTACAAATCATTTCACATTCTGTATGCACCCAATTGATCTCACATTCACAATTTTAAAACATGCTAAGTTGTAAATAGAATGTCCCCCCTTTTTCCTACATACTTTGGCTTGAGGGTTGCCATTTTTCTGTCTTCACACAGAACAACAAAAAAATGGTAATCAGAGATCCCCCCCCCCCCCCCCCCTCCAAAAAAAAATCACCTACTTGAACCTACCAATCTAAAACCAATGTGGTAGGAACATAACAGGAAAAAACAATTTCTTAATCTTGGCCTCAGAGAATATTATACTGTGCTCTCATGGAAAGTGAAATGACTGCTACCTGCTCAAAGAGCTTCTATGGAAAGTGAAATGACTGATACAATATGCTTCCATTAACAGTCAAATTAATGATGCAGAGCTTCCACAGAAATCAAATATCTTGGGCAAAAAGATTTTATAGAAAGTCAAATGACTGATGCAGAACTCTTTCACAGAAAGTTGAATGACTTGTACTACATGATTCCATGGAAAGTCTGTTAACTGATACAAAAAAACATCCACAGAAAGCTGAATGACTTGTACTACATGATTCCATGGAAAGTCTGTTAACTGATACAAAAAAAAACATCCACAGAAAGCTGAATGACTTAGTCTAAGAGCTGCTATTGAAACTCAAATCATTGATACAAGAGCTTCCATACAAATTTAGTTTAATGATTAATAGAAAGAGCTTCATTACAAAGTCATTTGACTGAACAAGGAGCTTCCTTGGAAAGTCAAATGACTGATACAAAAAAAGACTTTCCTTGAAAATTCAAATGACTGATACAAAAAAAGAGTTTCCTTGAAAATTCATATAACTAATTCAAAGAGCTTCCATGGAAAGTCATTTGACTGATACAAGGAGCTTCCTTGGAAAGTCATTTGACTGATACAAGGAGCTTCCTTGGAAAGTCATTTGACTGATACAAGGAGCTTCCTTGGAAAGTCAAATGAATGATAGAAAGAGTTCACATGAAAAGTAACAATACTCCACATCGCCTGTTATTCATATGCACCCCTTTGTTCCAAAATTTTTTAGCAACTCATACTTAATTTTTTTTATTTTACTTAATTTTTGGGGCTGTTTCTTTTAAAGTCAAATGAGAATTATGCAACATCATAATTATCTTTGACACTTTGAATATTTTTACCAAAAAGACTTAAAACTGAGAGACTTTAAAACTCAATCACAACTATTTCAACGTTTGACAGTAACTACACAATATGTCCTTCGATTCAGATTTCTAAACCTTCCTCAATTCTAAAAAACGATTTCTCAATACAACTGTTCCTACATTATAATGATATTTCATACCTTCTTCACTTCTAGGTCTTCGGTAAACTCGCATGTTTAATATCCACTAAATGTAATCCAAAAGAATGAACTTTTACAAGTTTTCTAGTGTCAATGTGGCTAGCCAAAAAATTATTATATCTTTAATACCTATTGAAATATTAAAATAACATTTGGCATAATACTGCAGATTATTATCCCCTTGAAAATAATATCCAACAGAGGTTTTAATGCACACTTTCTATAAGCATGATAAGAAAATATAAGGTAGTTTAAAAAAAAATGTGAAAAATGCAAAAGAGGGTTTAAATGGTGTCTTCAATTAAGTAAAATATGTCTAAGTATGGGTAACATTTAAATAGTTTTATATCTGATTTTCTACCTGCAAGAGTTAAATTTTACTATCAAGAGATTTGTCAAAAGTGATATTTTAATACCTATGGGACAGGTACTAGTTGAAAATGACTTTGTAAGAAGAAGAACATTTTATGTGATTGTTACGAAAACTGTAAGACGATGATGATGGTGGTGGGTGTGCCCTCACACAATAGGAACTGTATGATATCTTTCACCAAACTGAGAAAATATCTCAGCAAAAATTGGTCAAAAGAATCAACGAAACAAAAATTACATCAAAGTTGAACAAACTATGCTAAAATGGCTATTTAATGCCAGAAAAAGTTTTTTCAATGCTAAATTTACATGTTTTACACTGTGATAAAGAGAGACAAACTCTTTTTAAAGGGAGGTAAATGATAAAAAATACAAAAATTTAGGAGCTATACTATATTAAACAGTCTACAACTGTTTTTAAAGGGAGGTAAATGATAGATAATAAATATACTATATTTAGCTGTAATGTCGACAGATGTGATAACGTGACCCAACTCTTAATAAAGGAGGGTAATTAAATAATAAAACATGTTAATAAAACATTTTGGAAGCTATACCATTTTTAGCAGTTATGACAGCTGTTGAACTGTTAGTTGGTGTAAAGCTTCACGCTTAAGCAATTCATAAATGCAGAGCATATCCAATATCTGAAACAAATACTTAGTACATTGAAATATATTATAATAAATAAAACTTGATTCTGTAAAATCTTTGGATTAAAGTACATCAATAATTTTATTATGTAATTCTATCATCTTAAAATACATTGACATTTGGAAAAAACGTGGTGAAACTATCACAAATGAAAAAGCAGTTACATTCTTGCTAATTATTATGCAGTTTTGTAAATACAATGATCATAGACAAAAACAGACTTTTTCTTATTCAATGTTTCTGCAATAATAACTCAATTTGCCAAGTTTACTTGAAATATTCCGTGTCCGTCTGCTCTACTGATAAACCAGTAAAAACCACTAGAACTAACACAACACTTGTTTCACTAATGATATATGAAAATTTACTTTACAGCAGATGATTTTTCAATTTTCATTTTTTTCTTTTTTTTTTTCTCTTTTTTTTGCAGTATTAGCCAGACATTTTAAAAAAAAGCTAATATTTAGAATTGATAATAATTGCTAAATCTTAAGTGATTGGAATAAGGATAGGAAAGGAATTATCTGATACAGTGTATTTTCGAAATTAAAACATACACCAACTGGACTTTAATTAAACAGTTATTTTTCATCACCACTAGATATGACACACTCCTTTAGATCCCTATCAAATATTTGCATATTTTAAACATTTTTTTAAAGATGACATCCTGAATAGCTATGATTTATACTGAACACCCAATTTAAATGATAAATATATTTGTTATATAACACTTAACTTAAGATGTAGGTGTGTTACGCATAAATGGACATTAAGGATAAATTTTGCTTACTGAAGGAAAAATGAAAAAAACCTTTTGAAAAAAAAAATTCTTCTGAGTAGACTGAGATAAGATTATACCTTTAAGGTTAAAATAGCACAAATATTTGTTTTTCAATTTACTGACAACTTTTTTTTACCCTAGATGGTACTCAGAATAAAATATTGTGGGACTCATTGGATAAAAACAAGTTGGAATTATTTTTAAATGAAAGCCTATATCCATTTAGATTTAAAAATTAAAAAATCTCTTCTGAGTAGACTGAGACAAAAGATGGTACTTCGAACAAAATAATGTGGGACTCCTGATTGGATGAAAAAGTTGGATTTGTTATTAATTGAAAGCCTATCCATTCAGATTCAAAATTTTAAATTCATACTTTAAAGTGTTGGAAATATATTGATTGCATTTACTAAAGGAGCCATTCAAAATTTGCCTTTCCCATAAACACAGAAATTAGAATCAAATGCACCGTCTGCTACAGGACTCTTTTTTGACTGTATTATACAACACTGACAATTAACAGGCACTGCTACCCATTTTTATCCAATTTTTTCAGCAAGGAATTAAATGTTGAACACCACTCAGGTACTCTATGAAAAAGCATTACTGAAAATTCAGAAATTAATGCGTTCACTTATTTTTTTTTTTTTTAAAATGAACAATTATGCGAGATTAATTATTGCGCTTTTAGGAAAATCTGCATACAGATATATGTATTAGATATCAAAATGTGAGTTTTTATTTGCGATACTCACTCAGTCGCATTATTCGCAAAAAAACTTGTAAAACAATTCTAAGATTTAGATTCACAGACTGAGATGATGTTTGGTAAGTTCAACTTTGTACTTCATTTGGCCTTTTCAACTTTTTGATTTGGGCTTTTCAACTTTTTGATCTGGGCATTTCTGATGAGTCTTTTGTAGCCGAAAAGCTTGTCTGGCATACAAAATCTTAAGTCTTGTATCTATGATGAGTTTATTTGTCCGGATATAAGTTAATTTTACTTGTTTCTTTTTTTGCAATAACAAAATAATGGGAATATGTAAAACTCCATTTGTTATAGTTAAACAAATTATCTTCCTACAAAATAAGATTGTTTATATATTATATCACTTTATAGCCATTGATTTACATGGCACCAGTTTTTAATTTGGTAGTAAAACTTGTGCTTGTACTTTATTCTGTATTTTTTACTTTTCGATTTGAGCATCACTGCATGATAAGTCTTTTGTACAAAAAAATGTAGATGAAAAGTGCATCTTGCGTACAAAATCTTAAGTCTTGTGTCTATGATGAGTTTATCTGTCAGGATATCCGTTAATTCTACTTGTTTTTTTTTTTGCAATAACAAAATAATGGGAATATGTAAAACTCCATTTGTTATAGTTAAACAAATTATCTTTCTAAAAAATAAGATTGTTTATATACTATATGACTTTATAGCCATTGCTTTACGTGGCACCGAAATGTAATTTGGTAGGAAAACTTGTGATAACAAGATTCTGTCTAGTTATAGTGATGGATACCCTGCAATTCACAGAATAAAGTATACAGCAAACATTTCCAATCAAATCTTGTCAAAGGAAATTAACGCATAGGCATAGCGGTTAAATATACTGGGATACTTTCCAACTGGGAACCTAGAATCTGGAATCAATATCATTGTCTCCTTAACGGAATTGATTTGGATTATATTGGAAAAGTTAGCAATAAACAATTCTAAGTATTGGTCCCAGCTACTTATGTGACTTGACATGTTAGTCAATGATTTCTGTGACAAGAGTATTATTAAACATATTCTATATGGTTACAACTGTAGAGGAAAAAGATCGATTTTGGCTGTGTCTATACCATGGTATTTTATGTCCATGCATTGAATTCTGGCATGCATTTGTTATATCACAACATTGATTTAATGGAAATAATACGACTTTTTTCATTTCCATTTATTTACTATTGTAAGACAACCATCAACATTAGCTGTTTCTATTTCCATGGGAAATTAACATTCCTGATACGAACCCCTTAGTATTGATAAAAGATTAAGGCAAATAAAATATAGTCCTGGCCCCCTTATTTCTTTAAGAATCTTATGACTAAATTAATCATTTATGCATGGTCCTTCCAGCCATGAAATGATTTAAGCAAGAATTATTTTCAGACTTGTGATAGCTCTAGGAATGTTAAATTTTCCAAAAGGTCTATCCATCTATCCTGTGACATATACAGTGAGCCACTGTAGAAAAATAAGTTGGAAGTTGGTAGGTAAGGAATTTGCTTGGATAGCAACATTAAACTAATTTGACACTAAGACTTCTATATCATAAACTGCTGTTCTCATCATTTGTTTTATTGAGAGATATATGATAACATTATAAGATTACTGTGTTTTTATGATTTGTTTTCATTATAACTTTTTACCAGAATGTTTTCTTGAGAATATCAATCAATAGATTCCTTGCTGATAACATTCAAAACATTACAATGAATCGAAAGTTCAATTTTAAAGGGAGTTAAAAAAAAATATCCTAAAAATGCTAAAAAAGGTTTGCCCACTCACATTCTATTACAAAACCTGAATTGGCCTTCAGAAAGGAAGATAAAAGACTTCAAAAACTTTTCACATGACCCAAATGTTTAAATATGTGCAAATTTTCTGTCATTTGGTCATGCATACAGTGGGCCCACACTATTTGGTTCAAAGCAATGTTTCCAAATTGTCATCTAATTAGATTAATTATAGTAGGAGTAAATGACAAGTAATTCATAGCATAGGAGAAGAAATGTGAATGTATGTGATTCAATACATTGATAATTATCCCTCAATATCGACATTTTAACCACACATTCATGTTACAAGCTTCGATTTCTCGTAACCGATTAATTACAGGTAAAGTTGAATTGATCGGTTGTTTTATTTAATTTAAGGGTATTATTGGGCTCATTTCTTTAGAAAAGCTTTATTATGAGAAATAAATGAGCGTGGGAGGAATTATATCGGACAAATCATTAAACTTTAATGAAATCAAACAAAAGCCTAAGTAACATAAAATAACCATAAATCATCAGTAATCAAATGAAAGTAATACAACCTTTTCTCTAAAGATGAAATTAAATAATTGGTAAAATAAAATATTCTGAAATATTGATCTTTTGATGAGAGCATTTTCCAGCAGATTAGTTGTTGCATAATTTCTGGTGAGCAGAGGGACCAATTTTATTTACATTATTACTGATAAATGTGCTAATTTGAAAAGAGTTACATTTGAATTATTGCATGCATAGATATATTTCCATAACAATTTGAGGAAACAATTGGACATGTATCACAAATGAAAATCTTACAACTTCTTTTCTTTTAAAAGTTGTTAACATAGTTACTATCTATATAAGAGAGGTAATTTGTTCAACTGATCGTTCATTTCTTTTATTTTGCAAAAGATGTAAACTGCAGTAAACTGCATTTATCTCAGAATTTTTTTTGAAGGAAGGGAGGGTGGTTAATGAAAGTAAGGTGATAATTATCATTTTTATTATATAATTTTTGAAAGATCGGCTTACATAGAGTAATAGGGAATTTCAAATGGTAAAGGATTAGGGCAGCAATTAATGCATCATGGGGTACCTGACCATGAATCAACCCTCTAGGGAACACAATGGTAAATTATTGTTCATGAGATCATGGAGATTATAGGATCAAATAAATTACTAGCAAATTTTACAAAGCATAAGCTACATGTACACTCCAAAAGTCACAAAACTTAAAATCCTCAGAAATTCATTTTAGCCTCTAAAAATCATTGGTTTAAAATATAAAATAAAAATCGAACTTTAAACAAAAACATCTTTATTGCATCAGTTATTTCACTAAAATTCACCTTACTTCAGACTGGAGGTACAATGTATGTACAATGTACTTAAAACTTTTAATCTTCAATTTCCCACAAGTTTAAAAGTCAATCAGCTAGTTAAAACTTGAGATAAAATTTTCAATGAGTTCAATTTTAGTATACAAATATTCTTTCAAAATAATTAAATGGAAGATAATCCTCAGGATGATATCATAGGTCAGTCACCCCTATAGACCAAGAGCATAAAACTTTTTACCTGTTAGAAGGTTCAATAATTCAGATGGGATTCAGATACCTGCACTCAGCTAGTGTACCTATTTGCAAACTTTATATTTTTTTATCAATCCAGGGGAAGGTTCTGTGAGAGAAGGCAATCCTTTAAAAAAGATTTTAAATATAGTTATCTCATTGTGAATAATGCATGAGATACATGTACATGTACTAAATTCCACTGGGTGTTAAGAAAACAACAATAAATCAATCTAAAATAGGTGCAAAAATTCCAGAACTGACTACATTTAATGTATATTTAAGAAATGAGAGTACAGACTATTTGAAAAGTAGCCACTGACGGTTAATCTAAAATTTTATGGTTGCTAATGTAGTTTTTAACAGGCAAAAGAAAGAGATCTGGTTGCAAATGTAGTTTTATTGGTAACAGAAAGAGCTGGTTGCAAATGCAGTTTTGACTTAAATGTCACAGAAAGAGAGCCCTATGCAAATGCAAATGCAGTTTTATTGGAAACAGAAAGAGAGCTGGTTGCAAATGCAGTTTTGACTGGTCACAGAAGGAGAGCCCTATGCAAATGCAGTTTTAACTGGCAACATATCTAGAAAGAGAGATGGTTGCAAATGCAGTTTTAACTGGCAACAATATCTAGAAAGAGATGGTTGCAAATGCAGTTTTGACTGGTCACAGAAAGAGAGTCCTATGCAAATGCACAGAGTTCTTGATAAGTGGTGGTCCTAGGGATTTGACCACCACATTTTTGGGAAGGACCAACACAATTTTGGTAATTTGCAATAGAAATGATAGTGAGGACCTGCATATTTTCTTCAAGGACCACCAGGCAAAAAAAGATTTCGAGAACTCTGAATGCAGTTTTAACTGGCAACATATATAGTAAGAGAGATGGTTGCAAATGCAGTTTTAAATGACAATATATCTATATATGCATTTAAATTATCAGCATTTTGATGCCCCATGATCAGTGTTATTACAAAAATAAAATTTAAATTCATGTATACTTGATATATAATAACAAAATATATAATACAATCTGTCATGCCATATCCCATATTCATTCAGGGTTTTTCCATTTAACTTATAATTGCGTATTTAACCCTCTATATAAGTGAGTCTTACATGGTAGCTAGAATATATTTTTGTTAAGGTATAATTGAGTATTTAACCCTCTAGAAAACTTTTAAGATATAATTGTCGTTTAACCCTCTAGAATTCGTTTTTGTTCATGTTTTATGGCAGAAATATATATATAATA